ATACAATTGGTTTAAAATTTTTTTATTTATTTTAAAATTTCAGGTTGGTGAGAATGTTGGTTAGAATAAACGGAGAGTTTGAGATGGGGAGCATAAATTTAAAGGGACCTTGTGACTGCTGATTAGAGTTTAAGGATCTTCTATCTGGCGAAATTTTCCTTTTCTTCTCACATTCATTTGGGACCCTCTCTCTCTCTCTCTCTCTCTCTTTCGTTCTTTCGAGAGAGACTCTCTCTCGTTCTTTCTTTTCGTCAAGATATTCTCTCTCGTTCTTTCTTTTCTTCGAGAGAGAGAGAGACTCTCTTTCTTATTTTTTTTCTAAGAGAGAGAGAGAGGAGAGAAAAAGAGATGGAGAGAGAAAGAAAGAGAGAGGGAGAGAAAAAGAAAGAGGAGAGTTAGAGAAAGAGAGAGAGAGAGGAGAGAAATTCTCCCGTTTATTAAGGAGTCTTGATAAAATATCTTTTTTCGACACATGCTCGGGCGCCACCCATTTCTCAGGGCACACATGTGCGTGCAGACTTGAGCCACTGCACTGCCTTTCGCTTCCCACGTCCCGAAGGCTGAAAGGGCTTCTGGGAACCAAGACGCAACCAAGACACTGACTGCGAAAACTTGCACATCACACTCAAAATGTATACAATGACCTAATAGCTGCACTTTTTTTTCCTTTCTTTTTCAATTTACAACGTTAAACGAGATCATCATAAAAAGCATTTCGTTATAAGGAACAATTTACAAGAGAAAATTGTGTCAATATAATTCTCACTACGAATATAGCTGCGCAGAGTGCGCGTGCGCAAGAAGTGGGGCGCAGCGCGTTATCATCCCCACTCCTTCAGCGATGCGCGCGCATAAGTTGTACCAGAAGGAACGTCATTCTTTTTGAGTCAAAAATAGAAAAAAGGAATAAAATTATTATTATTTATTATTATTTTAATTAAAAAGTTTGCCTGAAAGGTAAAAAAATTTAGGAATATTAAAATTGATCAAGAAAGAATTAGAAAGCTTTATCAAAAGTAATAGAAAAAATAGTGAATTTCTAAAATTGATAAGAAAATCTTGGTGTCCATCACCCTTTAAAAATTTTGAAAAGATTTAATTTATTCATCTTGAGCTATTTTTATTCACCATATAAACTTTGAAATTACCACGAATTTTAATAAATAAATTCAGAAATTCATTTATTTTCCACAATTTTGCGTTAATATGTGAAATTTTTTTTCTACTTGAAAAGATAAAATTTTTTATAAGTTTTTATATTAATTTTTGTAATAATTTTTCTAACATTTTATAATTTTGAATCTGAAATAATTTATTTTTTGAAAATAATTCAATTATTTTAAAGAATTTTTTGGAAACTTTGTGAAAATAATCAAATTCTTTCGAGAAATTTTGATTGAAATTGCATTGAGAATAATTAAATTCTTGTTAAAGAATTTTATAAAAATAATTGAAATATTCTTTCGAGAAATTTTATTAAAATTGTATTGAAAATAATTGAATTTTTGCAATCTTTTCGACGAATTTAATAATTAAAATAATTGTATTGAAAATAATTGAATTTTTTCAATTTTTCAACGAATTTAATTGAAAATAATTCAATTATTAGGTGTACAGAATTTTATTACAATTTTGTTGAAAATAATCCAATTCTTCCACAGAATTTTTAAAAAAATTTTGAAAATAATACAATTAATTTAAAGAATTTGATGGAAATTTTGTAAAAATAATCAAATTCTTTCAAGAAATTTAAATTGCATTAAAAATAATTGAATTCTTGTTAAAGAATTTTATAAAAATTATAAAAAATAATTTAATTATTTTAAAGAATATGATAGAAATTTTGTAAAAATAATCAAATTCTTTCGAGAAATTTTATTAAAATCATATTGAAAATAATTGAATTTTTGCAATTTTTTCGAAGAATTTAATAATTAAAATTGCATCAAAAATAATTGAATTTTTGCAATTTTATTAAAATTTAATTGAAAATAATTCAATTATTTTGAAGAATTTTATGAAAATTTTGTGAAAATAACCAAATTGCTTCGAGACATTTAATTGAAATTGAAAATAATTGAATTATTCTTTCGAGAAATTTAATTAAAATTATCTAGAAAATAATTGAATTTTTGCAATTTTTTCAATGAATTTAATAATTGAAATTGTATTGAAAATAATTCAATTCTTGCAAATTTTTCGACGAATTTATTTGAAAGTAATTCAATTCTTAAACAGAATTTTATTAAAGTTTACTAAAAATAATTGAATTCTTTCCTGAAATTTTATTAAAATTTAATTGAAAATAATTCAATTATTTTGAAGAATTTTATGGAAATTTTGTTAAAATAATTAAATTACTTCGAGAAATTTAATTGAAATTTCATTGAAAATAATTGAATTCCTGTAAAGAATTTTATAAAAATTTTGAGAAAAATACTTGAATTATTCTTTAGAAAAACCTTTTTATAAAATTATCTAGAAAATAATTGAATTTTTGCAATTTTTCGACGAATTGAATTGAAAATAATTCAATTCTTATACAGAATTATATTAAAATTTACTAAAAATTGAATTCTTTCCTGAAATTTTATTGAAATTTAATTGAAAATAAATTTGTTATTAAGTTTGGAAATCGGGGAAATAAAAAATCAATTTTTTGTGGAAATCCTAAATTTAGGAAATTAGGTCCCTGAAGTTGGCGAAAAAATTTTTTTGGTGCGTAATTGAAAAAAATTGAATAATTATTCAATTTTTGCTGGCAGGCAATTTTTTTAACTACTTACTTGAATGAAACAAGTAAAACTTCAGGAACATAGGAAATTAAAATTTTGTTCAGTTTCGAAAATGTCTTTTTGAACTTTCTTTTTTGGGGCGAGCGATTTTGCATATAATTTTTTGATTTGCGGTTTTAGGAAGAAAAATAATTTTTTTGAGACGATAATCTTTGTACGTTAGGACAATGTAAATATCCTTGAGTAATGTTCAATGTCCACATCCAACCTTAACATGGTAGAGTGCTTTCGCGGAACACCTGGCCATTCGTACGCCCACTTTATCTACAATCTCGTACAAAAAAAAAACTTTACCCGTCGCGTTATGTCTCTGTATGCGAGAAAAAGGTAGTGATACTTGGCTCTACAGGTTACCACATTGATTTAGACGAGATTATAACTGGCCTTTTTAGTGGTTTCCTTCACCTAGGGTCATTCAATGAGCAACCTCTATCACATCCTTATTTTGAACGTTAATCTTATTCCCTTTTCCTCTTCTGGGTTGCAAATTTTAACGTTATTTTATTAGATCCAATTAATGTGCCTTTTTTGAATTAATACGAAAAAATATTTTGAAAAAATTGGGGCACAAAAAATATTTTGAAAAACCCAAAAAATACTTTTTTGGGTTTTCAAAATATTTTTTTCTTATCTCGACATAGAGATTTTCATTAGAATTTAAATTAAAGTTCAATACCCGTTCTTTAAGACTAATGTGCGCAAGACAAAAAAAAAGTAAGGTTTTTCAAAAAAGTGGGGGTAAAAATTCAAAAAAAAAAAATTTTTACTTATTTTCGACATGGTAGTGGATTTCAATGTATATTCATCCTCTGAACACGATCCAGGGTTCCGAATTTGTCTATCACGTCAGGATTTTGAAAAAAGTGGGGGGTTAAGATAAAAAACGAGTTTATCCCCACTTTTCTCAAAATCTTGACGTGCTAGGCTCTGTTAAATCTCAGTATCGTGCTCGTCGGGCGAAAATACATTGAAAACGAGTCCAATATCAAACAATCAAAAAAAAAAAATTTGTTTGGGTCTTTACCCCCACTTTTTTCAAAATCCTCTATTTTTTGAACTCGTAGTGTATGACTGAAGCTTTAATTTAAGACCTCGCGGATGTCTCTGGCATAGTCAAGTTAAAAAGCAAAAAATATTAAAATACTCCAAAAATACTTCTATTAATTTAAATTTGAAAAGTAATTAATTTTTGCGTCAATATTGCCTGAACATTGCCAGGCAATATTGGTAATATTGAGCTCAAATACTGTGTTATTTGGGTATAAATTTTTTTATATTCAATTCTGTATTACAAAATAATTAATATAACATTTAGTAAATATTAATTAATAATAATAATAATTTATTAATTATTGATAATTGTTGCTAATTAATTAATAAATTAATAATTAATAATCAATAATTGTTAAATTTTATAATTATTATTAAATATTTCAATTTATTAATTATTATTATTATTATTAAAATATTGAAATTCATTACGAAATTCGTAATTAAAAGTACAGGAAAAAATCTTTAATTATTTCTCCTTCGTTAAATATTAGAAACTTTGGGATCATTTCGCAGAAAGATTGTAAATTCATGAAAAAAATTTTTTTTTGCTGACAAAAAATATATTTTTCAAGACAAAAGAGAATTGAATACTTGAATTACAATATATATTTAATAAAACACCACAAAATATACGTAAGCGATAAATAGTTATTCAAATAACGAAAAGAATATAGAATTTCTTTCTCTCTACTTCTAAATCCATTGTATAAAAATAAATGTCTCAAATGTCGCAAGAAAATTTGTAAATTTGCTTCTTTACTTCTGTTCGTATCACAAATAAAGGTGCGATGTTGAAAATAAAAATGTAAATTTTCTCTTTCTTATTTTAAATAAGTCATTTAGTGCGCTAATAACTTTGGAATAAATTTGAATGACAAGATCCAGTATAAAATTTTTAAAAAAATTTGTTTTTCTTGTTTAATCAAGTATAAACTTTGGTTAATTCTTATATTTTTGAAAAAAGAATAAATATTTAATATTAAATTGAATTTTAACAAACAGAACAAAAAATAAATAATTGAGTGATTATTTTGTAATCCCAAAGATTTAATAATTTACGATAAAGAGGAAAAAAATAAAATATTTCTTTGCGCGGCTTATTGAATTTTTATTCTTAAGCAAAGTATTTCATGAAATCGCGTTGTTGCCAAAGAGGATGTTGTTACGTAAATTTTGAGCCAACAATTCATGCTCCGCTTTTATCTCTTTTTACTTTAACTTCAAAGTGTTAAGTTTGTTGTAAGAATTTTTCAGAGAGGAAAAAGAGACGTTGACACTTATTTAGAGTAAAGAAGCGCTCTGCTATTTCCACGTTCCATAACGTTGAGTTTACTTTAATTTTTATTGTTATAATTATTATTATTACTACTATTATTATTACTATTATTATTATTACTACTATTATTATTACTATTATTATTATTACTATTATTATTTTTATTACTATTATTATAGTTATTATCATTATTATTAATAATAGTAATTAAATTCACTGATTTATTACTCGTCTCGAATGTAGAAAATACTTTTTGACTCTAGGGTCGAAAAGTATCATTTTTGTCCCTAGTGTCAAAAAGTATGTTCTACAATAGAGATTGAAAATAGATTTTTTTTGGAGAATTATTGAGAATTTTGGAACTTCTTTTTTTTGGAAATAAAAAAAGTTGTTTTTGCAAACGCAGTATTTTTAAAATTCGCTACTTATTCTTTGACATGAGAATAAAATATCAGGTAAATGTTATATAACATTTCACTTTTAAATTTTCTTCGTGGTAATTCAAAGTTGACATACATTATCTCTTTTTTCTATAGCTTCACAAGAAACAATCTTCATTTCAGCATAATGTAAACATATATAATTTTAAGAAAGAAACAAAAAATAGCATATCACATCATCATGATACTTATCTTCACTATCATTCTTATCTACAATATAATTACTGTATCATCTTTATCGTCAGCATCGTCACTGATCATTATCATAATCATCATCATCAAATTCTTCATTATCATCAAATCGCGAGAAAAAAAATATTATTATCAATATTAGATTTTCGGTACAAATAATTGATTTCATATAGTTAAAATCTCTATAAATGAATAACGCGGAATTCCAGTTAGAAATATTCGCAAAATTATTAATTTGTTTTTGTTAATTGTCAATTATTTTCGCAAATAATAGAATTTTTCTCTGGAATTCAATTATTTTGGATTTATTTTTAATTTTATTTTTAACATTAAAATTCAATATTGAGAAAATTTTTTTTAATCAACCACAGTTTTCTTGAAAGTGTATCAAATTGATACCAAATTCAATTAAATTGATACCAAAATTCTTTTAAAAATCAATCATTTTATTCTTGAAATTTATAAATAAAATTATTCAAAACTTTAATTTATTCAATTCCAAATCAATTTTTATTAGAAATTTGGACGAGAATTCAATTATTTAAATGCAAAAATAAATAATTTATTGAATAATTGAATATTTCTTAAATTTAAATTCTTATAAAGAACTTTATCAAGAATTTTTAAAATAATTGAATTCTTACGAAGAATTGCATTACAAATTTTTGAAAATAATTATTACACTCTTGGAAACAAATTATATCAAATTTTTTTCAATAATTGAATTTTTCAAAGAATTTTATTCAAATTTTTATAAATAATTACGTTCCTAGCGAAATTAATTTAAAATTATCTTAAAAATAATTGAAATCCTGCGATGACTTTTATTATTTATGAAAATAATTGAATTCCTGCCACAAAATTTATTAAAACTTTTAAAAGTATGTAATACAATTTTAGATAAGAAATTTTATTGTTTACAAAAATAATTGAATTCCTGAGAAGAATATTATTTATAAAAATAATTGAATTCTTGCAACGATTATTATAAAAATTTTAAAAAATAATTGAATTCCTGAGAAGAATTTTATTATTTATGAAAATAATTGAATTCCTGAGAAGAATTTTATTATTTATGAAAATAATTGAATTCTTTCAAAAAAATTTATTACAATCGTATTGAAAGCAATTCAATTATTATAGGTACATAATTTTATTAAATTTTTTTAAATTATTGAATTCTTTCAAAAAATTTTATTAAAATTATATTGAAATCAATTCAATTATTATAAAGAATTTTAAAATAATTGAATTCATTTAAAGAATTTTATTAAAATATTGTTAAAAATAATTGAAATTCTTGCAAAGGTTATTATTAAAATTTTTAAAAATAATTGAATTCCAGAGAAGAATTTTATTCTTTATAAAAATAATTGAATTCTTGCGAAGAATTTGATAAAAATCTATTTAAATAATTGATTATTTTCGGAAAATATTAGGAAAATTCTGTTTTAAATAATTGAATTCCTATGAAAATTTTTTTATTTATGAAAATAATTGAATGTTTGCGAAGAATATTTATAAACATTTTTTTTTTCAATTATTCAATTCTTTTGGGGAAATTTTTTATTAAAATAGTAAAAATTATTCTCAGTAAAGAGGCAAATTTAATTGTTGATTTTTCTCTAATAACCGCAAAATTCTACAGAGAGTAAAATAATTTTTTAAATTCAAAAACACTTTTCTTAAAAGTATCTAATTGATATCAAATTGATTTAAATTGATTTAAATTGATTTAAATTGATAGCAAAAATTTGGCTCAAAATTTTGATTTGATCTACATTTTTTTTGTATCAATTCATTGCAATTGAATACTTTCGGAGTTAATATAGTGAAAATAAATAGCTAATCAGAAAATTATGCTTAAATGAAACATATTTTATAGTTGAATTAAACTTAATTCAAACTTAATCAAACTTATGTATTGAATCAGAAATTTATTATGTTTTATTCAAAAATAATTTTTAGTTGACTGCGAAAAAAGAAAAATAATTATGTTTTGATAATTATACTGTTTTCTCAGTGTATAGATTAGGTACTAAATAAAAGTGAGAATCAATTTCAAATTGATATTTTTTGCGTGAAGATTTTCAGAAATCCAATAACCAAATACAAAAATAGTTTACATATGGTGCGCGTATATCTAAGCATAAAATCGTTTATGACTGAAAACGGGTCAAGTCACAGACCTCCATGAGTGTAAAAATACAATACATGACATTTTTTTTTTTCTTCAACTTCCATGGCGGATGACCCTGGGAATGTTGCGTTTTATTATAACGCCATGTGTATAATAGTGACTCTTGAATTCTTATCATCAATGGAAAATACACGTATATATGTTTATAACTATGTGAAAGAAACGAAGGACAAAATAATGGTCAATATGTGCAAAAAGAGTTTTTTTTTTCTCCTCTATACCGATTGTTACTAAAACTTCATTCATGGAAATTATTTATTGCAAATGTTGCTTCGCACAAGTCTATTATAACGATAAATAGTTGCGAAGAGAAAAAAAATTATTATCTATCTATATATTTATACCAAAGAATGAATATTTAGGTCGTTGAACGTCTTCTTATTGTAACAAGTCAGTGATAAAGTGTGACATTGTTTAATTGATTCCACGTGTTGTGTTAGTATTTCTTTTTTTTCAATAAGTTTATCATGGAAGGAAAAATTCTCTACGGAATTTATTTATTTAACTAAAAAAAATGCTTTTCATCTCAATTGTGACTGAACAAAACAAACAAGACTTCCTTTTTTTAAAAATGAAATTACATTTTTGGAACCAGGGGGTAAAGTAATCTTTTGTACCCCTAAGGTAAAACTTTTTACAATCCTACTTTCTTCAATTATTTTTATTTTGAGAGGTATAATGAAAAACAGAAAAAGTATTCTTTTTTGTTGTTGGTATTGTCGCAGCAGATATGAGTGAGAGAATATATGAAAAAAAGTGATGTGCATTTTGAACGGTATAAAGTTGAAAATTATAGTGTTTGTGGTACACTAGTGTCACTCTTTAGACCGTGAAAGAAGAATACAGTGTTGTACAACGACAATTAAAATCAACAAGCCTTTACTCGTGCTAAACTTAGCGTGCTTCGTTATTGTACAAGTGCATGTTTCATCCTCCACTCATTTTATGGCTTTCACATTATTATTGCAATAAATGTAAAGCACATATCAATAAACTAATTCGTTAACAATAGAAAATTCCCATCGTCTCTTCATTTTTCTACAAATTTTCAAACTTCTCGTTAAAATTTCAATTATTTTTAGAAATAATTAAATTCTCCGAAATTTAATTGTTTTCAAAAATTTTAATTCAATTCTTGGCGAAATTTCAATTATTTTCAAATATTTTCCACAATTCAATGATTTTCAATATTTTTTAATTTTATAAAATCTCCCATAAGACATTATATAAATAAATAAATAAGAATTTTCCAAAACATTTAATATTTTTATAAATAATAAAATTCTTTTCCAAAATTCAACTGCTTTCAATAATTTTAATAAAATTCTTGACAAAAATTCAATTATTTTCAAAAATTTTAATAAATTACTTGTCAAAAATTAAAATTTCAATTATCTTTATAAGTAATAAAATTCTTCTCCGAAATTCAATTATTTTCAACAATTTCAATAAAAATCTTGACAAAATTTCAAGTATTTTAAATAACTTTCCCCAATTCAATTATTTTCAATACCTACTATTTTATTCAAATTTTCCAAAAGAATTCAATTATTTTCATAAAATAATAAAAATTTCACAGGTATTCAATTGTTTACAAATTTTATTTATAAATTTCTTCGTAATAATTCAATTATTTTCATAAATAATAAAAACTTATTTCAGAATTTCAATTATTTTTAATACAATTTTAATCGAATTCCTCGAAAAATGTAATTATTCATATAAAATTTTATTGAAATTCGTCAAAAGAATACAATTATTTAAAAATTTATTGATTAAATTCTATATGAAAATTCAATTTTCAGAAAGATTTAATTATTCAATAAATTATTTAGTTTTGTATTTAAATAATTGAATTATCGTAGAATTTTCTATTAAAAATTGATTTTAAAAATGATCTATTCAGAAATTCAATTATTTTCAAAAGTAATAAAATTCTTTGCAGAAATTCAATTAGGGTTTAAATTTTTTTGAAAATTCTCGTTAAAATTTCAATTATTATTTTCAATAATTTTAATAAAATTCTTACCAACTATTGAACTCTTTTTCAAAAATATTAGAATTTTTCACGTGAATTAAATTATTTTCAAATATTTTAATAAAATTGTTTTAAAGAATTCAATTATTTTAAATACAATTTTAATTACTTTTTTTTTTGAAATAATTGAATTTTTCTTTTAGATTTTAATGAAATTCTTCTCAAGAATTCAATTATTTTTCAAAATAACAAAATTTTTCACAGAAATTTAGTTCTTTTTAAACATTTTAATAAAATTTTTCGCAATAATTCAATTATTTTCATAAATAATAAAATTATTTTCAAGAATTCAATTATTTTTGAAAATTTTAAGAAAATTCGTTGAAGCTATTCAATTACTTTCATAAATAATGAAATTATTTTCAGAAATTCAATTATTATTGAAAATTTTAAGAAAATTCTTTGCAACTATTCAATTATTTTAAAAATATAAAAATTTTTCTTTGGATTCCAATTATTTTTAATACGATTTTACAGGAATTGCTCAAAAAATGTAATTATTCTTAAAAATTTAATTTCAATTCCTCGAAAAAATCTATTTATTCAAAAAAATTTTTTTTTTTAAATTCTTCGAAAGAATTTAATTATTAAAGATAAATAACAAATTTATTCCTGAAAATTCAATTATTTTCAGGCACTTTAATAAAATTCTTTGCAAAATTCAATTTTTTTTATAAATAACAATATTCATCACAAGAATTCAATTATTTTTAAAAGTAATAAATTTCTTCTTGGAAATTCAATTATTTTAAAAAATTCAATTATTTTCATAAAAGATGTTTAAATTTTTCTTAGGGATTTATGTATTTTTACAAATAATAAAACTCATCGCAGAATTTAAATTATTTTTAATACAATTTTAATGGAATTTCTCGAAAAATTTAGGTAATTATTCTTATAAATTTTATTAAAACTCGTCGAAAGAATTGAATTATTTAAAAATTTATTATTAAAATTTCTTATTAGAATCGAATTTTAAGAAACATTAAATTATTAAATAAATTATTTATTTTTGTATTTAAATAATTGAATTCTAGTAGAGTTTTCTAATAAAAATTGATTTAAAAATGAGTTTTAGTCAAAATTTTAGATAATTGAACATTAAAATCAATATAACGTAAATTTTTAGAAATAATTGAATTTTGAAAATTTGAAATTATTTTTTTTGAAAAAGTTTAATTGAATTTTTTTTATATTATTTTAAGTTTCTTTTTTCTAATAGGTATATATTTAATGAAAGAATTTATACGAATAATTGAAATTTCGTTAAATTGTTTTTTGTAATTGACAAAAAATTGTCAAAAAACTTTTTGAAAAATTATTAAAACTAATCGATTTAAAGAAGAATTTTAGTTAAACATTCTTGAAAATAATAATTGAATTGATATAATAATATTTTTTAAAATTTCATTTTCAAATTGGAAATTACTTTATCAATTGCATCAGAAAAAAGGTGACTTATAATATTATTTGCATTAAAAATAATTATTGATCCATAAACAATAATTATTGCCACTGGACAATAATTAGAATATTGATAATTACATAGCTATAATTACGATTTTTTAAAAGTATTCCGTATTATTGGCACATAAAAAATTGTAGGAACATATAAATAAATTCCTGCTTTGATATTCTCGAGACACAAAAGAATCAATTCCCGAGAATTTTTTTTTCCGCAATTAAAAACTAGAAAAAAAATAAACTTTCATTCGAAATAAAATAAATTCTTCGCGAGTATTTGCATTATTCACAGACAAATTTATATTCGTCTATAAGAAGCATATGTCTCCTAAATAAAGTTGCATATACAATAAACGATTGTGTATTATTTTGTGTGTAGTACATTGAATTTTACACGCAGTTACGATGCATTTGGAATATTAAATTCTTCCTTCATGTATATATATCTACAAGGAGTGAAAATATATATAGAAAACAATCGAGAGAGAATTCAATTGAAATTTTTTCGAGTAAAAAAAATGACAAAAAATTTTGTTGGAAAAAGAAGTCCTCGCATTTTTTTTATGTAATATTACCTTAATTATTAATTAAGACCTGGTAAAAGTAGATATTATATGCACTCTTTTTCCCATATATATGCATATATATATACATACCATATTATGATTGATGCGTTTCACTTTCTCACGGAGTCTGTATTACCTTATTATTATTTCTGCAGTCTATATTTTACTTTACTTTAATAGTAATCGAGAAAAAATTATATTTAAATGCCGTTCTTGTTGTCGTCATGAAAGAGAAAAAAAGAGAGAGGTGGGGGAGGGAGGTTTATTCGTTTTGCAATAAATATTCTAATTTACTGAGAAATAAAGTATGTACTTTATAATTTTTTATGAAAAATTATTACATAGTAAATAATTTCTCAAATTATTGTATAAACTTGGTTTTTTATTCTTTAGCGCAGAAATAAGTGTCTTGAGTATGTACTAATTTTTATGACAAAATTGCAGACTTCGCACTGGATAATTAATTTTTAAAAAGTAACAAAAAGTAGCTTTCAAACTAAAAAAAGTAGCTATTAAAAAATTAAGCTTGAAGACCAAAAAAAAAAAAAAATAAATAAAAAGATTGTTTTAGACACTTTACAAAACTGACCAAAAATTCCATTCTATATTTAATTTTCTTGATTTTTTCCTAATTTTCATCAAAAATATTTACTTTCTTCTTATCTTGAAAATAAATTCAATTCCTGCAACGAATTTTATTATTCATACGCGAAAAAATTCAAATATTTATAAAAATAATTTAATTCTGTTTGGAAATTTCATGAAAATAGTAGATATTAAAAATCATTGAATTGCGAAAAGTTTTTAAAAATAATTAAATTTCACAAAGAATTCTATTAAAATTTTCGAGAAGAATTGAATGTCTGTGTGGTATTTTATTAAATTTTTTTGAAAATAATTGAATTCCTAAAAAGCATTTTATATTTTATGAAAATAATTGAATTTTTGCGAATGATTCTATTAGAATTTTTTTAAATAATTGAATTTCCGAGAAGAAATTTCTTACTTTTAAAAATAATTGAATTCTTGTGATGAATATTGTTATTTATGAAAATAATTGAATTTTGAAAAGAATTTTATTAAACTGCCTGAAAATAATTTAAAATAATTAAATTTAAAATAATTTTGTTATTAATCTTTAATAATTAAATTCTTTCGAAGAATTTAAAAAAAACATTTTTTTAAATAATTGATTTTTTCGAGGAATTGAAATTAAATTTTTAAGAATAATGACATTTTTTGAGCAATTCCTCTAAAATTGTATTAAAAATAATTGAAATCCTACGATAAATTTTATTATTTATGAAAATAATTGAATTCCTGAGAAGAATTTTATTATTTATTAAAATAATTGAATTCCTGAGAAGAATTTTATTATTTATGAAAATAATTGAATTCTTGCAACGAATTTTATTAAAATTTTCAAAAAATAATTTAATTCCTCAGAAGAATTTTATTATTTTGAAAAATAATTGAATTCTTGCGAAGAATTTTATAAAAATTTCTAAAAATTATTGAATTCCTGCGAATAATTTTATTATCCGTGAAGATAATTGAATTTTTCCGAAGAATTTCATTAAAATTTTTGAAAATAATTAAATTCTTTGAAGAAATATAATTAAAAATAAAATTAAAAACAATTATTAAATTCCAAATTTTTTAATAAACAAATTATATCAAAATCATTTTAAATATTTGCTTTTTTTGAGGAATTCATTTAAAATTGTATTAAAAATAATTGAAATCCTGCGATGAGTTTTAAAATTAATAAAAATAATTGAATTCTTGAGAAGAATTTTACTAAAATCTAAAAGTATAATTGAATTATTTAAAAAAAATTTGATTAAAATTGTATGTATTTAAAATAATTTATTTCTTTCGAACAATTTTATTAAAATATTTGAAAATAATTGAATTCACGTGAAAAATTCTAATATTTTATGAAAATAATTAAATATTTGGTAAGATATTTTATTAAAATTTTCAAAATTTTCAATTGAATTTGTGAGGTGAATTTAATTATTTATGAAAATAATTGGTTTATAGCGAAAAATTTTATTAAAATGTCTAAAAAAAATTGAATTTCTGTGAAAAATTTTGTTATATTTGAAAATAATTGAAATTTTCATATGAATTTTATAAACATTGTTTTAAAAAATTAAATTTTTTCGAAATATAATAAATAATATGAAAATTTTATTTTAAATAATTAAAATTCTTTTGGAAAATTTTATTTGCGAGCTTAATTGAATTTTTCTATTAATTAATTTAAAATAATGTTACAAATAATTGTAATTCTTCGATAAGTTTTATTATTTATGAAAATAATTGAATGTTTGCAAAGAATTTTAAAATCAAAGTTGTAAATAATTAAATTTTCATGAAAAATATTATTAGTGAAAAGTAATTGAATTATTGTGAAGAATTGTATAAACAGTTTGTTAAATAATTGATTTTTTTGAAATTTCTCTGAAATTGCTATTTCTAAATGAATTGAATTTCGGTGGAAATTTTATTATTTATGAAAGTAATTGAATTTTGTATGAATTTTATCAATTGTTTAAAATAATTAAATTGTTTTACAAAATTTTATGAAAATACTAGATATTGAAAAGAATTGAATTTCGAATATTTTTTTAAAATAATTGAATCGTTTTAAAGAATTTGATTATAATTTTTGAGAATAGTTTTTTGATTTTTTAGTATTAGCGAATTTATTTACTGTTTCATTTATTTCACTGTTTTTCTAAGGATAATAAAGTGAGACAAAAAACGAATTAAAAGTGTTGCCTAGCAACACTTTTGATTCGTTTTTTGTCTCAATTTGATATTCTTAGAAATATTGTATTTGTTGTCTGTTTTGTTCTAATTTTTCTAATTTAATGTCTTTTTTGTTTCAGGTAAGCAACAGTGGAAAACGACTATATTACTTTTTAAGATGTTTGTTTTCAAGCAAGTGAGTAGAAACATTTTTTATCTATTTTCTACAAAAAAGAAAAAGAAATGGATTCTTTTTCTCCTAGGGGAGAAAGTATCTTTTCAGCACATTTTCAGTAAGAATTCTTTTATAGTTAAAAATCATTTTTCTGATTCTAATTTTCAAGTATGAAAATTTTTGCTCTCATTTTAATTGCTATCAAATTTTATTTCTTTGCTTATTTTTCATAATTTCTTGTATATAGTATATAACAAGAATTATGAAAAAGAAGCGAAGAAATAAATATATTGAGTTGAGTCCAGTGTGTACAATAAGACATTTCCAGATGCGAGAGATGCACAGCTGGTTCTCACACTTTGGCAGAGGCACTTAAGAGAATTCAAAGGATTTAAAAAACTCTTTGGTGATTAAACTGAAGTAGATTTTAAACAGGTTTTTCTTTTTCGTGAATTATTGCGTGCGAAAAAAATGTATTTTTGCTTTCGTGTTCTTTAAATATAATATTTAAGGGTGTCTTTAAAAAAAAAAAAAATTTTTCTATTGAACGATTTTATCATTTTTTGCTGCTTTCTTTCTGCAAAAATTTACGAATTTTACATTTTTTAGGATATTTACGAATATATTTGAATTGATTCTTTGTTTGCAAAAAGTTCGGGGAACTTTTATTTTATGTTTCTTTGAGCACGTTTATTTATGCTGAACGATAGATAGACAATAAATCTTCTTTTCTCGTCTGTATGAATGTAACACAATGTAATGACTGCACGTGGAATCAATTAAACAAAGTCATGTTTATCTATTTGTGTTCCTTTCAGTCGTTCTATAAATGAGTCATTATTGCATTTTTGATTATTTTCCTATTCACTGTTTCAAGCGTCGATTTTCTCTTTTTTTTATTTTTCTTGAGTTATGAAAATTTGTCACTTAATTGTTATCTGACAGGGCACGGATCGTTTTTAAGACTCAACAAAAAGTCGCTTTAGTCGCATAAATTGACAACAAAAAGTCGTATAAAATTTTCAAAAAAAGTCGGAAAAAAGTCGCATGAAATTTAAAAAAAAAACGACAAAAAGAAAACACGAAATTGTCAAAATTGTAAGAAAAAATCAAATTTCTCAACAACAGATACATTAATATCAAACAGTCCGATATAAATTTAAATTTTCCCTCAAAATTTTATAAATAATAAAATTTATCATAAAAATTAAATTGTTTTCAAAAGTTCTGATAAAATTCTTCGCAAAATTCAATTATCTTCAAAAATAAGAAAATTCTTTACAGAAATTCAATTATTTTCAAAATTTTTTTTTTAAATTCTCCTCAAAATTTCAATTATGTTTATAAATATCAAAAATTCTTCTGCAAAATTCAATTACTTTTAAACATTTTAAATGAAAATCTGTTCAAAATTTCAATTATCTTTCTGAATAATAAAATTCTTATCTGAAATTCAATTATTTGCAAAGAATTTTAATAAAATTCTTGTCAAAATTTCAATTATATTTATAAATAATAAAATTCATCCTAGAAATTCAATTATTTTCAAAAGTATTAAAATTCTTCGCAAAAACTCAATTATTTTCACGAATTTGAAATAAAATTCTTCTTATGAATTCAATTATTTTCAAATATTGATAAAAATATTTGCAATAATTCAATTATTTTCAAAACGTTTAATAAAATTTTACGCAGAAATTCAATTATCTGCCAAAATTAATAAAATTATTCACAGGAATTCAATTATTTTTTAAAATTAATAAAATTCTTTACAAGAATTCAATTATTTTTAAAAAACTTTAAAATTCTTGGCAGTAATTTTTTTTTTATAAATTATTAAGATATTTCAAAGGAATTGAATTATTTTCAAAAAATAATTGAACCTTTCGCATGACATCAATTATTTTCGAAAATTCATCAAATTTATCGTAAAAATTCAATTATTTTCAATCATTACTAAAATTCTTCTCAATAAATTCAATTATTTTGAAAAATTTTGATTAAATTAATGATAAGAAAAAAATGAATTATTTTCAATACAAAATTTTCATTAAATTTCCTTGAAAAAATTTAATTATTTTCAAAAATTCTAAATCAATTCTCTACAAGATTTCAATTATTTTTATAATTAACAAAATTTTCTTCGCTGAAGTTTAATTATTTTAAGGAATTTTAATAAAATTTTTCGCAAAAGTTTAATTGAATTTTTGACGGGAAATAAATTTTTTTTCAATTATTAATGAAAATCTTTGCGCAAGAATTCAATTATTTTCATAACTTTTAATAAAATTTTCCGCAGAAATTCAATTATTTGCCAAAAATTAATAAAATTTATCCTAGAAATTCAATTATTTTCAAATTTTCTTTTTAAATTCTCCTTAAAATTTCAATTATCTTTCTAAATATCAACATTCTTCCACAAAATACAATTACTTACTAATGTTTTATAAATTTCTTCCCAATAATTCAATTATTTGCATAAAAAATAATTAAAATTTTTTTTTTTATAAGTAAAGTCTCATAATAATAATTAATGATTTTATCACTCGGTTATCTTTAATTATTATAAAACATGAAGACATCGATTGCTCCGAGTCGAAGACTCGGAGTGATCGATTTCTTCATGTTTTATAACAATTTTTTATAAGTTGTTTTTTGTTTCAAAAAGTTGTGAATTTGAATCTTTTGAAGAATTTTAATTCCTATGGAAAAATTATAATTAAATATTTATTTAAAAAAGAAGTTATTGATGTTTTCGAAAAATTTGAAAGAAATTTGTAAATAAATGTAGCAGAACATTTTTTTTACTCAAACTTTTTACTTTAAATTTAAAAAAAATTTTTAAATTTCATTCGCATTTTACTAAAACAAATCTTGAAAAAGTCGATTAGTCGCATTTTTTCACAAAAAAAGTCGAAAAAGGTCACATTTCCTTAGAAAAGTTGAAGAAAGTCGAAAAAAGTCGCACAATCCGAGTCCTGTTATCTATTGAAAACTAGTATTTACTACTTTTTTTTATGATTTTCTACTATTTGGATACTTTTTTTTATTTGATACACTAAAAGCTACTTTTTTTCATGTTTGAGAATTTACACTTCTTTAAATTTGTTAACAGTTGAAATGAACAAAAATTTTTTTTAAATAGAACACTGAAAAAAAAAATTTTCTTAATTTAAGAATATATACTAAAAAAAAGGTGTCCAGGATATTCCCCACTTAATTTAAATGGGGAATATCCTGGGCACCTTTTTTATAGTATATATTCTTAAATTAAGAATATTTTTTTTTCCAGTGCATTGAACAAAATAAAATGATTAAAATTTTGAATAATTTTAATAAATTTAAAAAAAAATGATTGAATTTCGAAAGGATTATGTTTGTAATTTTTAGAAATAGTTAAATTATGTGGAGTAATAGTAAAACACCCCTTCTATGATAAATTGACAAACTTATGAAGAAGCAACACTGATGCATATAATGACTGAAGTGCCAGTGAATACGTAAGTTGCTTGTAACAATCTGACTCTGAATACTGGAGCAGAAAAAAAGTCCACACACCCGTAATTCAAGCCAGATGCCACATATAAAGCAAGACTTGTACTTGGTTGCTTTTACTGCAATCAAATGAAAGAATCAACAAGAAAAACAAGCGATACGTATATATTAAAGGAACGTGAAGCGAAGGTAGAGAGCTATATATGTGTATTTATGCGCAAAAGAATACCATTCGACGCTTTCATAATAAAATAACAAGTCAAACTGAAAGTTCGCCTCTTCAGGAGATTCAAATCAAGCCATTAAACTGTACCAGAAAAAGAAATATTTAGTTTGGAATTTTTCGAAATTTAAATTTTTGTTCTTTTCTATCTTGTTGACAGTAGGGAACAGTAGGGAACAGTAGGGAACAGTAGAGAACAGTCAGGGTTGAACCATGTTTTAAACTTTGTTTATAACTTTTTTTAAAGAATAAATTGAGTTCTTAGTTAAAAAATAGCGGGGGTTCAACCTTGCCTATATCTACATAGATTAAGTCTACATAGATTGGTAAACTCAATGAATAAATTTCCACCAAAAATGTATTCCAATCAAGAGAAGAAATTAATCCCTTTTGTTACAATAAATATTATTGATTTTAAAAAAATCTTTTCTTTCTATTTAGTGACACGTGTTGAATGCTAAAATCAATGGCTTGCGAAATCAAGAAATTCCATCACGTTGTAACTTTGGACTTGGTGAATCTTGAAGTCTGAGACATGTCAACGGGGCAATGTAATCCAATATAATGACAAAAAATTCGCAGCAAATCTTATATTTCTTCAATATGCAAACTTCTTCAAATGCATATTTAATATCACAAATTAATTTTTAGTTCATTTAATGAAGTTTCTACTTTCTACTTTATATTTTAGCTTAATTTCAATTTTAATTTCATTTTTGTGTTTAATTCATAAAAGAGTTTTTGAAGTGATGACAACTGCGATTATTATTTGATCGCAGCTATCACTTGATCCATTGTTTGTGTCACGTAATTCGGTATTTAAGAGATACGAAATAGTTGAGATTTATTTTTAATGTAAATACGAAATTGATTAGAATAATAAATTATCTTCTATTTACTTAATACTTATACTATATTTAATTAATTCTTAAAAATTGTCCGTAATGGCGCCATGTGAGTCACGTTTACGATAAATAATTAAATCTTTTGAGACAAAAATAACTTTTGTAAACGTTATTTCCGCCATTGAATATACATTTTAGTGACCTAGCGATACAAAAGGTCATTGTCGCATAATTTGTTTTTTAAATAAAGCATTTAAGGCGTGTGGTTGAAAAAAAACATTCGTAATGATTTTGAATATAGAAATAGCTAAAAAAAATCTATCTTTTTTCTGAGTTTAGATTTGAATTATTTAGCTATTTTTTTTTCTTTTTTGAAAGACTGTTTACATCGCTAATCGCTATTCGTATAGGTTTCGAGTTTCGTATCTATGAACAGTCGGTAAAGCAGATAATTGCGCGGTAAAATTAAATTTACTGTCAATATTTGCCAAATAAGTTTCTAATTTTTAGAGTAAAAAATTAGAGATATAAAATCTATTTGGAAGGCTTATAAAAAATTACAAGTTTCCGCAGTGTGGGAAAAGTTTTGCTAAGATTCGAGGGCACGGCTAATAATTGGTGAAGAGAGGAGGAAGCAAAATTTGTGAATATATCGTAAAAGCAACATGGATCAAAACGAGAAAGCTGCACCGGATCCGAGCACCATCTGCCCCGTGTTCCTTTTCTTAAGAGAGTACCACGAGGAGAATATATTTGAAGAGGCGCAGGTTAAACTTCTCCTAAAGTGGGCGTGCGTCTCAAATGTACCCTTCTACATTTCCCATGAACACCACCTTGCGCATTCGTCCCTGTGGAGTAGAATTTTCGAGAGGTAGACTTGCAGCCCTCTGGTGCGGAAGGACAAACACTTGCGACCCCTCCGGTA